TCTTTTTAGGGCTACAGGGCTATGGGGCTATTGGGCTACAGGGCGATGGGGCTATGAAGCTAAAGGGCTATGCAACTATAGGGTTATAGGGCCATAAGGCTACAGGTCTATAGCGCTATAGGGCTATAGCGCTATAGGGCCATAGGGCAACAGGGCTATAGGACTATAGGGCTATGGGGCTATGGGGCTCTGGGGCTATGCGGCTATAGGGCTATAGGGCCATAGGGCTACGCGTCCAAAGGGCTATGGGTCTATAGGGCTATAGGACCATAGAGCTATAGGGCTATAGGGATATATGGTCCAGGGCTTGGGCCACCCCCCCCCCCAATGCTGATGCCATTGGGCCCCCCCCCCGCGCGATGGTCCCCCCCGCCCCCCCCTGTGGGCGTGGCGTGGTGCTGCGCTGCGGTTCCCCCCCCCCCTGTGGATGTGGTGTGGTGCTGTGGTGGTTCAGAAGTGGGCGTGGCGTGGTGATGAGCTGCGGTGCCCCCCTCCCCCCCCCACCTGTGGATGTGGTGTGGTGCTGTGGTGTTTCAGAGGTCGTCGTCGTCGTCGTCGTCGTCCTCGTCGTCCTCCTCGTCCTCGTCGTCCGTCGTCGTCGTCGTCGTCGTCATCGTCGTCGTCGTCGTCATCGTCGTCGTCGCCGTCGTCATCGTCGTCATCGTCGTCGTCGCCGCCGCCGCGGCCGGCGTCGTCGCCGCCGCAGCCGTCGCCGTCGTCGTCGTGGTCGTCGTCGTCGTCGTCGTCGCCGTCGTCGTAGATGTCGCCATCGTCGTCGTCGCCGTCGTCGTCGTCGTCGTCGTCGTCGTCGTCTTTGGGACCATACCATCTGGGGGGGGGGGCGTTAACCCTCGACCCTGGATCATATATAGGGCTATGGGGTTATAGGGCTGTAGGGCTATAGGCATACGGAGCCATAGGGCTATAGGGCTACAGGGCTATAGGGCTATATAGGGCTATAGGGATAATATAGGGCCATAGGGCTATAGGGCTATAGGGCTATAGGGCTATAGGGATATACGGATATAGGGCTATTGGGCTATAGGGCTACAGGGATATAGGCCTATAGGGCTAGAGGGCTATGGGGCTATAGTGGCTATTAGGCTATAGGGCTATAGGGCTATAGGGCTATAGGGCCATAGGGCTATACGGCTGTAGGGCTATAGAGCTAGAGGGCTCTAGGGCTCTAGGGCTATAGGGCTATAGGGCTGTAAGGCTATAGGGTTATAGGGCTATTGGGCTATTGGGCTATAGGGCTATAGGGCTATTGGGCTATGGAGCTTTAGGGCTATAGGGCTGTAGGGCTATTGGGCTGTTGGGCTGTAGGGCTATGGGGCTATAAGGCTGCTATAGGCTATAAGGCACCTGGGCACCCGGGCACCCAGGCGGGCCGTGGAAATCGGTGGCAAACCTCACCTAACCGTGTGAATCCGCTAGGACCCCTACAGAGGCAAGCTCTGATTGGGGAATGACGTCGGGGGTCTGGCGGCACCCGAAGGCGTGGCGCCTGCCATCGGAGGCCTCCCAGCTGAGCGACGAAAAAGAATGGGGCTTATGGGCCTTACTGCGCCGCCAGAGTACGACCGTATCCACTGCTGCTGGGCCGTGTCCCGAGGACTCGGGGAGATCTCAGGGCACGACTCCGAAGCGGTGGATGCGGGCAAATCCTGGAAGTGGACTTTCGCAAAATGACGTAGCGAACGTACGCCGCGGCTTACGCGGGCCGCCCGCGTGGCACACCGAGTGGCGGAAGCGAGGGCGCTTACGCGCGACCTCACGCGGGCAGCTTACGCGCGAATGTTCGCGCAGTCGAACACGTTTTCTTGAATCGCTCAAATTGGATCCGTTTAGACCAGATCTGAGGATCAAGCAGCATCGCCGATGCATCGCCGACGCATCGGCGATGCATCGTCGACGTCGGTGATGCACCACCGGCGACGTCGGCGACGTCAGCGTGAAGAAAATCAGGCTCTAAATCGAGTCGCATCGCCGACGCGTCGGCGATGCGGCGCGATCCTCCTGCCCCATCTACTCGGACCCCGTGTGTGAGGCCTGATGCATGGACCAAGAACTCCGACAATGTGATTCTTTCGTTCTGGGAGTTTTTCGGCAGCGAGCGAGGGGGGGAAGCGAGAAGGAGAAGGCCTTCTCAGAAGGCGGCCGGACTTGTCAGTAACCCTTCCGCCGTCTGAAAAATCTTCTCTTGTGCCCTGGGGGAATGCCTGCAAGACTGCTCAGGAGGCTAGGGAACTTCCGCGCATTCTGAGAAGGCCTTCTTTCGGCGGTGGACAAACCTCCCTTTCGTAAACCTCCCCTTCGTGAAAACGGGCTGGGACCGAAACCGACGGACCTGGACCCGCCAAAATGACGGCCGCGACGCCCTCTCGCGAACCGAAAACGGCCAATTCCTTAATCGACGTGTCAGGGTAGGAGGTCTGTCCACCCCCGATTCTTCGGGGATCTACTGACCCGAGTCAGTCCAAATCCAGGTCAGTCGGGCACTGCAGGATCCTGCACGCAGGCCCAGGTCGATGGACCCCTGGCCCTGCAGAACCCTACAAGCTCCCGCGCTCTGGTGGACCCCGCTTGCATGGACCCCCGGCCCTTGCGCCCCGACTTCTTCTTCTCTGGGGGAGCGAAGAATGGCATAAGCATGAAAACTGGGTGGTTCGCGCGGATCTCTTGGATCCGCGCTGGACGCCCCTCCATGGCGCGCGGAGCGCGCCAGGGGCGGGGCCGGAGGAGCCGCCAGGGGGCCCCCCAGCGCGGATCCGAGAAATCCGCGCGGACCTCCGAGTTTTCATGCTTGTGCCATTTCTCGTTCCCCTATTGCTCGTTCCCCTGCTGTGCTTTTGTCTTTGCTCGTTCCCCTATATTCTCTCTTCCCCTCCCCTCCCCTCCTCTCCCCCTCCCCTCCCCTCCCCTCCCTTCCCCTCTTCCCCTCGTTCCCCTGTATTCTCTTCTCTTCTCTATGTGCTTTTGTCTTTTTCGTTCCCACCCACACCGGTCGCCGGGCGAGCGGCAGGGAGGAGAAGGGGGAGGAGGAGGAGGAGGAGGAGGAGGAGGAGGAGGAGGAGGAGGAGGAGGGAGGAGGAGGAAGGAGGAGGGAGGAGGAGGAGGAGAGTTGCCTCGGCCTGGGCCCTCGGGGCAGGAAACAAAGCTGCCCCAGGGAAGGAAACGGAGAGAGCTCTGGGGCCGCGGATGGAAACACACAACAAAAAAAAGAGTCCGCCAGAGGAGCGACGAGAAGGAGGGGGTCCTCCTCCCGCTCCTCCTCCTCCTCCTCCTCCTCCTCCTCCTCCTCCTCCTCCTCCTCCTCCTCCTCCTCCTCCCTCCTCCTCCTCCTCCTCCTCCTCCTCCTCCTCCTACTCCTCTCCCCCCTCCTCCTTCTCCTCCCATCTCCTCCTCCTCCTCCTCCTCCTCCTCCTCCTCCCTCCTCCCTCCTCGTCCTCCACCTTCTTCCCGCCTCCAACTTATGGTGGTGGTGGAAAACAGGCCTATCAACATACAGTCAACCCGTACAGTAAGGACGCCCGATAAAGGATGCAAGGGCCTTGGAGGGCCATGCTGACACGCTGCGAGCGGGGCGCTGCCAGCGAAGGCGGACAGGATGTGCCGAAGGGGTAAGACTATACGGGTTGACTGCACGCGAGATGGCATAGCGACCTTGCGCCGCGGCTTACGCGGGCCGCCAGCGCGGCACGTTACATTGGAGAAGAGGGCGCTTGCGCGCGACCTTGCGCGGGACGCTTGCGCACCAATGTCGCCAGTTTTCTTCCGCAGCTCAGATGTCGCTTGAGATCCAGCGTAGCGAAAAAAATGCAGCACCGTCAAAAATCACGACCAGAGCCCCGGACCCCATCTTCATGCGCCAGTTTCCGAGCTGGACAGATCTGTGAGGGCCCCAGGGCCCGAAGCTGGGCGAAGAGGCCCAGCTCGAAAAAACCGAGACGCCAGGATCTCAGGAGACTTCTGGGCTCTGGGGGCACCCGATGGAGTAGGGCCTGCCATGGAGGGGGGGGGCAGCAGGACATACTGGTACTCTGCGTCCTCCTCGGAGGAGTGCGTCCGACCCGCGCATATAGTACCACCATCCTGTAGCATAGATCGTTTCCCGAGCGGCCCGGCCCAGGAAGCGCCCGCCACGGAACATGTACTAGAAGCTTTCTCGGCGCGCGCGTCGCGCCTTCGGGAGCGATCAGGTTGGGGTGACGCCGAAGGGGGGTGGGGGGCTCGATTGGCGACGTCTTCTGACATCCCCGGCCCACCTTTGTTGCCCTTGCCCCAGCGCGGCGGGCCTTCCAGAATGCAAGGACGTCCACGGGGGGCCAGCGGCAGAAGCAGGACAGAAACAGGCGTAGCGGAGGATGAGGAGGAGGAGGAGGAGGAGGAGGAGGAGGAGGAGAGGCGAGAAGGAGCGAGGAGCGACGAAGAGCGACGAGGAGCGATGATGAAGCGGAGGATCGAGGACAGGAGGGAGAAGGAGGAGGAAGAGGAGGATGAGGAGGAGGAGGAGGAGGAGGAGGAGGAGGAGGGAGCGAGCAGGAGGGAGAGGAACAATGGCAGCACGAGTTCTAACAAGAGAAAGACGAGAAGGAGGAGGATGGGGAGGAAGAAGAAGACGATCTACCGACTCCCACACCTTGATTGCTGAAATCGCCTCCACCATTGATATAACGCCAGCGTCTAAGCCATTTGCTTACGCCACACGGCTCACTTACTTGTTAGCCGACACTTGCACATGTGTCTTCTCTTTTCAGCTTGCCACACATATAAGATTTGGTGGAGTGGGGTGGTTATGTGATGGAAGAGGTAGAAAATAGAACAACTGGGCCATCTCTCATCACATTACACTCTCTTTCACAGCATGCATTTTCTCTTCCACAGCTCACTTCAGCCTAGTCTTGACCGCCATCTTTCAGGCTCCCCTGGACACCAGGGCGTGGCCCCACACTTGCCACACTGCAGCGATACCTCTCATTGCGACTTCGTTTCACCCTCTTACTTCTGCAAATACCTTACACTTGCTGGCGTCGCCTGTCTGCCATCATCTTTTACGCGATGTAGCTAACCATCCTGACTTGAGAGTGCGACGGGTTGTGGGCTTGTTGATGTGAGGGTGGAGGAGAAGGACTACAGCGGCAGCGTCCACGATGCCGTATCTGCATCCGTCCACGGCCTAAGTTGCTTGCTGCGTCGCCTAAGTCGGCGATTATTTTGGCCATCCTAGAACGCAACAGGCCCCGCCTCTTGTTTGCCTAACGCCACAAAGGAGGAGGAGGAGGAGGAGGAGGACGAGAAGGAGGAGGACAGTGAGGCCGTCGCCCTCCGCCAGAGGCCCCCCTTTATCTCTGCCATCGTGGGCTACATCAAAGCATGCTGGGATGTCTGGGTGCTGCTGGGACACAAATGCGAGGGCAACGGGCGATTTTGGCAGAACGGATGGAGATGCCGAAGCTGTGATTGGACGCTGTTGAGCGCCCTCCTCGTGACCTGCATGAGAAGCCCCTCTTGGACCGACTGGGGGTGCCCGAGACCGTCTTGGGCAAAGTCGCGCGGTCGTGACTGTGCTCGGGTCCGTTGCGCCCTTCGCTATGTTGGTAGATTCCTGGCCTCGGATCCCGGATCCAGAGCGGAATTTTCAGGAAACGGCGGGGGGGGGGAGGGGCGAAAAGCGCCCCCCCCACACCCGAACACAAATCCCAATTCACAGAAAACGTGTTTTCCTCCTCTAATCGTTTGTTCTGTTCTGGCCAAAAAATATGTTAGGGCTCCCTCCGTGGGGTGGGTCGGTGGCCTCAGGAGCCCTACTTTGTCGCAAGTTCACGAAGACTGTGCGAACGTATCGTAAATTACTAGGCGGTGTGGCTTTGGGAGCGCGAATTTCCAACAATTTCTATAAAGGATTGTAACCTTGGGGGCGCGAATTGGTTCTGACTTACATCAGCGTTGTGGCCTGGGGAGCGCCATTGCGTCGCAATTTGCCTGGGGGGGCCTCGTGAGCGCGAAGGCATCGCATCCACCTATGGAACATGGCCACGGGGAAGCGAAATTGACTCGAGATTATCAGGACTGTAGCCTCGGGACCGCGAGTCTGTTGTCTTGATATATACGCAGGAATGGGGCCCCGGAAGCACGGAGGCGCCCAAATTGTCAAAGCATTGTGGCACTGTGGTTTCGGGAGCGAGCACTCGCTGCACTTCTACTTGCCCCAGGTCCCAGAGTACCATTGAGAGTCTGAGAAGACCCATTGAAAGTCAATATGGGTCTGTTTGCAGCCAGGGGGGGTCGCGCATTCTTCGACCTTCCAACCTTGGCATGAGGAGAAGCAGCACCTGCAGGAGGAGCAGGAGGGGCAAGAACGAGGAGGGCGAGTGAGGGAAGAGAAAATGGGGAAAGGGGGATGGGGAAGAGGAGCCGCGACAGCAGGAGGAAGAAGAGGGGGAGGGCGGCAACAACAACAACAACAACAACAACAACAACAACAACAGCAACAACAACAACAACAGCAACAACAACAACAACAACAACAACCACAACAACAACAACCACAACAACAACAACAACAACAACAACAACAACAACAACAACAACAACAACAACAACAACTACTACTACTACTACTACTACTACTACAGCAACAGCAACAGCAACAGCAACAGCAACAACACCAACCACAACCACAACCACAACCACAACCACAACCACAACCACAACAACAACAACAACAACAACAACGACAACAACAACAAAAACAACACCAACAACAAAAACAAAAACAAAAACAAAAACAACAACAACAACAACAACAACAACAACAACAACAACAACAACAACAACAACAACAACAACAACAACACAACAACAACAACCACCACCACCACCACCACCACCACCACCACCACCACCACCACCACAACAACAACAACAACAACAACGATAACGACAACGACAACGACAACAACAACAACAACAACAACAAAAAATACCCCCTAATAATCCAAGAGTGCTAACAAAAAAAATCGCCTCCAGACCACTTGTTCGAGACTACTTTTGAACACTCCTCCTGCGGAGGGACAGGCCCGACTCCACGGCAGGGGCGCCCCTCGCGAGGAGCAGTCGGCCACCTCTGCGCGCCCTGGCGCCGCCCCCTCGAGGGGGGCAGCAGCTCCCCCGGGGCCCGGGCCGCGGCGCGCGGAGGCGCGGATATCTCTCTTCGCTCATGTCGGGCGTGTCCCCCATACAGGGGGACTTTCGACGGAAAAATAATATAAACAAAAAGAAATGCCCAAAAAAACAAAAAAATACTCGAAAAATAGTCCCCAGACTATGTGTGGACTACTTTTTGACTTTTTGGTGTATTTTTCCTATTTTTCGTCGAAAACCCCCCTGTATAGGGGGACAGGCCCGACTTAACTCTTCGCGCACCCGCGGGCGACCCGGAGAGGGCGGCGAGCGAGGGGGGGGGGGGGCGCGCACAGAGGTACACTACTACTATATCTCCTCCTTGGAGGCGCACGTCCGACCCGAAGATATGGTATACCCATCTTGGTAGTGGATCGTTGCCCGAGCGGTGTGGCCAGGAAGCGCCCGCCACGACGCATATACTACAAGAGTTCTCGATTCGCGCGTCGCCCCTGGGGGGGCGACGCACACGCAGTGCAAGTATGCTGGGGCGACGCCGAGTGGGGGAAACGAGGAGGAGGAGGCCTTCTCAGAAGGCGGCGGCGCTCCTCGGGAGGCATCTGGCCTTCCGAGGCTCCTGGCGCTGTCGGAGAAGACCTGAAAGAATGATTAAAGGGGCCCTGGGACACACAAATAAATACACACAAATAAAAGAATTCCAAATCTTTTCCAATACTTTCTGAGTTTTTGTCTTCCCCCCACTTCCCATATTCTCCCATATTTTCCTGGGAGTCGACAATTAATTGTGTCTGTGTTGTTTCCCCTCCTGAATGATGTTGTTCAGAAGGGTGGGGGGATTTCAGGGCCTTCTGAAAGGGCCCACCCCTTCTCAATTCCTCCCCTCGCTCGCCGCCGACAGGGATCCCTCCTGCTCCCGCGGAGGGTTGGGTCGGGCGTGTCCACCTACAGGCGGATTTTGGGCGAAAAACTCAAAATACAAAAAAAAGAGAGGTGCCCCAAACATGCCCCAAAAAATACTCAAAAAATCGTCCCCGGACTGTTCTTTTGACTATTCTTGAATGTTCCTCCTGTAGAGGGACAGGCCCGACTTAAGGCGGAGGGCCGCGGGGCGAACTTGCCGCTCGCGGTCTGGAGAGACCTCGCGGACGTCCTTGCGGGCTTTCCTTTGGAGGCCGCCCCGCTCGCCCTCGTCTTCGTCGTCGGCCTCGCGCTTGCCCTTGCCCTTGCCCTTGCCCTCGCGGGACGGCAAGCAAAGGATCCGCCGCGGGCAGGGCACACTCTTGGAGGCTTGGGAATTGGCACCAGCACCAAAACAGGAGCTTGCCTCCACCAAGTGGAAGACGGTCCTGGACTCCTGGCGTTGGCGGCAGCGTTTCGGCCATCCTGGCAGCCCGAATATGACAACCACCACCGAAATCGGAATCGTCTTCCCAAGGTGAAGAGGCGCTCCGCGGCTGTTGGTGTTCGTGTCAACCTCCAGGCCTCTGAACCAAAAACTCTGGCCCTCATAGCAAGGGGGGGTCTGAAAAGGGGGGGGTCTGACTCGAGCTGCCGGGTAGTGTTCCATGGTGTCGGGGCGGAAGGCCGCCTCTCCATGGCTGGTCTGGGGGGGGAGGTTCTGAAGAACTGCCCGTCTGGGAGGGTTGCGGCCCCCTCGCTTCTGCTTCGAAGCGTGGACCGCCCTCAGATCCGCGCACCGCGGAACACGGAACCAAAGAAAAACAGAACGGGCACTTCCCGCCCCCCTTCAGGCCCCAGAGCCCTTCCTCCTCCTCCTCCTCCTCCTCCTCCTCCTCCTCCTCCTCCTCCTCCTCCTCCTCCTCCTCCTCCTCCTCCTCCTCCTCTTCCAAGTTTTTGTCGCAGCGGCGGTGCGCTCTTGTGGCGGCGTCGGACCTCAGGGTACATCCTGGCAGAGCAAGGCCAAGACGAACTGTCCAGAGGGGTCCCGAGACTAGTCCGGGACGACCGACCGAGAGCTCATCCGAGGTGGCCCAGAGCTTCTCCAGTGGCCCAGGACAGCCCTCAGGCGGGGCCGCAACCCATCTCGAAGCCGCATTTGGACAAGCTTCGGGCCAGTCTGGGACAGTTGGTGGTCGGCTGCTGCTCAACTTGATCCGCCGCCGTGCCCCTGAGGCACGAGTTGGAGTGTCCTCAGGACCTTGCCCTGGTCTGTTAAGCCTTATGAAGGGGCCCTGGGACACACAAATAGATACACACAAATAGCAGGATTCCCCATATTTGTTCCATATTTTTTGGATGTTCGTCTTCCCCCTCACTTCCCATATTTCTGCACATCTTCCCGGGAATCGACAATTCATTGTGTCTGTATCTTTTTCCCCTCCTGACCTCAGTCCTCAATACTGAGGACTCTTCAAGGGGCCCAGACCCAAAAATCACAAAAATCTTCCGGGGCTCCCCTCGTGCCCTCTGGGGCTTCTCGCGGCCTGTCGCCTGACTTCGTCGGGCCCAAGAGGGCCCCAAGGCGGGCCAAGAGGGCCCCGAGAGGCCGCCCAGGCGGGCCAAGAGGGCCCCGAATCGCCGCGCGATCGGTCCAAGACGCCCCCTCTTGGGGCCGTCTTGGGGGCCTCTTGGGCCGTTCTGGGGCCATCTTGGAAGCCTCTTTGGCGATCTTGGGGCGATCTTTAGGGGCTCTTGGGCCGTCTCGGGCCGTCAAAGGCCGAAAAGAAGCAAATGCCAAAAGCCTTCAACAACCTAAGGATATTCAATGATCTTGTCCTCTTCGGAGGCCTCTTGGGCTGTCTTGGAGGCCTCTTGGGGGCCTCGTCTTGGCCCGTCTTGGAGGCTTCTTGGGCGGACTTGGAGGCATCTCGGACCCTCTTGGGCCGTCTTGAAGGCCATCTTGGACCATCTTGGGCGAACTTGGAAGCCATCTTGCACTCTTGGAGACCATCTTGAGCCGTTTAGGGCGATTTTTTCAAGACGTTGGGGTGCTTTCCTGTCTCTTCCAGGTGGCCGGCGGGATCGGCCGAAGCCCCAGGGGGAGTTCTTTTGAAAACAGCCCAAACCAAACACGATTGGTATTCACCACGCCAGGCTGCCCTGTGGCAAGCCAGCAGGGTGCGGCGGATCCAATGGTCTTCGGCCCATCCTGCCACCGCCCCTGGGTTGTGAGTCTCAGGCCTCCTGGATGGTCGTTGGGATCTCGTCGAGGCCTCTCGGGGGCCTCCTGGAGGCAGCTGTGAGGCCTCTGGAGGGCTGTTTTGTGGCCTCTTGGGGCTTCTTTTGGGTCTCTCAGGGGTCTCTTGGGGCCTCGTGGGGGCCTCTTTTGGGCCTCGTGGGGCCTGCTAGGCGCCTCTTGGGGCGGAAGACTCATATTTTCGGTTCGTGTTCCCCCTAATGGGCCCCTGTTGGGGCCGTCTTGGGGCCCTCTTGGGCCTTCTTGGGCGCCTCTTGGGCCGTCTTGGGCCCTCGTGGGCCGTCTTGGGGCCCTCGTGGGGGCCTCTGGGGCCGTCTGGGGGCTGTCTTGGGGGCCTCGTGGGCCTCTCTGGAGCGACGGAAGCTCGGAAAGTCGAGGACCCCAGGAACACGGAAAAAAACCCACGACAATCCATGTCCTTGGCCTCTCGGAGCCCTCTTGGGACGAAGGCTTTTTGGGGGCCGTCTTGGGGCCATCTCTTGCCCCAAGACGGCTCACGAGGCCTCCACGACGCCCAAGATGGCCTCCACGACGGCCCTGGAGCACCCCAAGAGGGCCCCAAGTCGGCCCTGAGAGGCCCCCACGACGGCTTCCGACGGCGTCAGACGGACCAGGAATGCCCGAGGCCCCCGAGAAGCCCCCAAAGGCCCCCAAGAGGCCCAAGGAGGCCCCCAAGATGCATTCAAGAGGCTCCCAGGAAGCTTCCAGGAGGATCCAAGAGTGCCCCCAGAGGTTCCCAAGATGCCCCACTCCCCTTCCTCCTCCTCCTCCTCCTCCTCCTCCTCCTCCTCCTCCTCCTCCTCCTCCTCCTCCTCCTCCTCTTCCTCCTCCTCCTCCTCCTCCTCCTCCTCCTCCTCCTCCTCCTCCTGATCTTCCCCCCCATCCTCCCCCAAGTGGAAAGGTCCGATAGCTTGGCAGAGCTCTTGCCACAACGCTCGGCCACATGGGCGATTCCAGAAGGCATGGGGGGGCAGTTTTTCTCCCCAGGCGTCTTCGATAAAAATGTATGTCGTACCACTGCTCGCCGACACCGAACCTGGTCACGCCGATCCCAGATCGGTGGATACGCCCACACTAGTCAAAGGACAAAGTTATCTGTGCGTAGTGGAAAGGACAAACCAAGGACCATGACCAAGACTGAACGCGGAAACGGAGTCTCGATCTTGGTCACCGTCGATCTTGACCAGCGTCAATGCGTGGATCATTCTCGCGAATCGGCGACGGCCCACATGGACCATGACCAAGATCCGCATCGACACGATCCCGCGACATCTTAGTCCCCGTGTTTCTTCCCTTGACAGAAGCACAAGCCCGCAAGGATCTCTTGGGCCCGCGCTGGACCTCCTGGCGGCGCCTCCAGCGCAGGCCCCAGGCGCACAAGCCGCGCCCCGGGGGAGCGGGAAGCCAGCACGGACCAACGAGGTCCGCAAAGACCTCCGAATCCTCCTCCGCCTCCTCCTCGTGCGTCGTGCGTCGTGCAGCGTCGTCGTCCTTCTCCTCCTCCTCCGCCTCCTCCTCCTCCTCATCATCCCCCTCCTCTTCCCCTTCCGCCTCCTCCTCCTCCTCATCTTACTCCTCCTCCTCCTCTCCTCCTCCTCCTCCTCCTCCTCCTCCTCCTCCTCCTCCTCCTCCTCCTCCTCCTCCTCCTATGCCGCTGCTTGCTCTTCCGACTACGGCAGGTTCGCGTCGTGTCGACCCCGGCGGTGGTTCCTGACACTGCAAGAATCGTTCAGCCTTGAACAATCGGCCGTTTCCTAAATTTCCGATCGTTCAACATCGACCGATTCTGGGTCGCTTGCGGCCTTCAACGTTGAACGCCGGCGGCGGGGTCGCCGCCGGTCGACACGAGACGAACCTAATTTCCGTACGCAGGATGGCGTTAACGAATATCCGAGAGCGTGATCCACCGCCGCTTTACTGTGGAAAATTCCCCCCTCTTCCTCCCAACCTGGGGGTCCCCCCCCCTCCGAAAACCCCCCCCCCCCTGCTGGAAAACTCCCCCCCCCCACCACCCCCCCCATCCCCCCAAAACCCTCCCCCCCCCTAACCCCCCCCCCCCCCCCCCCAAAACCAGGGGTGTCACTACCGGTCGAACCCCCCCCCTCCTCCTACCGGAAAAACTGGGGGGGTCACTACCGGTTCGAACCCCTCCCCCCCTCCCCCCCCCCAAAAAAAAAGCCAGAGAGGGTCACTACCAGTTCGAACGCCTCCCCCCCCTTCCAGAAAACCGGGCGGGGTCACTACCCCGGTTCGAACCCCCCCCCTCCAAAAAACCGGGGGGGGTCACTACCGGTTCGAACCCCCCCACCCTCCGGAAAAACGGAGGGGGGGTCACTACCGGTTCGAACCCCCCGCCCCCCTCCAGAAAACCGGGGGGGGATCACTACCGGTTCGAACCCCTCCACCCCCCCAAGCTCACCGCCAGCAAACGACTCCCAGGTCACTACCACCGTCCGCACCACATCCCCCACTGCTGTCCCCAGCACCACTGTCCTCACCACCACTGTCCCCACTGTTCCCCCCACCGTCCCCACTGTCCCCACCAGTGCCCCCACCACTGTCGCACTGTCCCCACTGTCCCCACCACTGTTCCCACCACGGTTCCACTCTCCCCACTTTCTCCACGGCCCAACCACTGTCCCACTGTCCCCACTGTCCCACTGTTCCACTGTCCCCGCCGCTGTCCCACTGAGCTGTCCCACTGTTCCCACCACTGTCCCCACTGTGCCCACCACTGTCCCCACTGTACCACTGTCCCCACCACTGTCCCCAGTCCCAGCATCCCCGCCATTGTCCAGCAGTCCCGAGAAGCGGGAATCGTTTGCAGGCGACGAGGGGGGGGGTTGGAACCAGTAGTGCCCCCCCCCGGTTTTCGAGGGGGGGGGTTCGAACCGGTAGTGACCCCCCCTTTTCATAATGGACTGGGGGGGGAGGGGTTCGAACCGGTAGTGACCCCCCCCCGGTTTTCGAGGGGAGGGGGGGGGACGGGTTGGGAACCCCAAGTGACCCCCCCTTCGGTTTTCCGCCAGCAGCGGGAGAACACGCTCTTTCGAATATCCCTTTATTATTTCCTTTCTTCCACATGGAACACAGCCCGATCGTGTGCTACCACGCCTCAGCCAGCACAGCGAAAGAATTCGCATTGCCACTATAAAATGGCCACACACGCACACACGACAGCGCTAAGCAAGCCTGATGCACGCGGTTCCTTTCGAAGCGTGCCGTCAAGATTTGCGTTTGCGCTTTATTCTGCGTAAACGAAGATCCTGAAAGCTTCCAGAATCGAATCCGACTAAATGAGGTCGGAGGATCAAGCCGCATCGCCACTGCATTGCCAATACGTCGGCGATGCATCGGCGATATTGGCGATACGATATACCAGCGCCGTCGGCGCGGAGAAAATCTGCCTTGAAGGAAAAAACAACTGTTCGGTGGCAACTCATAGGAGCCTGAAATGCCATCTTTTTGGCTCTTGCGAATCGACGCTAATCGGCACTCGTCGACGCTAAATGACGCTAATTCGACGCTAGTCGACGCTAATCGACACTAATCGACGCTGAATCGACACTATCTCATCGATTCCCGGACGCCAATCGGCGCTGATGCACTCTGGAGACGGACTTACCAGGGTAGACAAGGCTACCATGATTCGCGACCAAAATAACTGCATGAGCATAAATTTTCAGAGAGGTCCGCGCGGATTCCTTGGATCTGCGCTGGGAGCGCGCCAGGGGCGGCAGCGGACGCGCCGCCAGGGGGGGGCCCAGTGCCGATCCAAGAGAAATCCGCGCGGAACCGAAGAATCATAGCTTGGGACCATTGCTTCCTCTGCGAGGGGATGCCTGGAGGTCCCGTCGGGAGCGTCCAAGAGGGGGGTCGTCTCCAAGAGGGGGGGCCTGCAAATCACGCCCAGAGGCGTGAGCGCGGACCAGGGAACGTGTGGAGGGAAAAATAGGGGGCCATGGAGTCGGGGAAGATATCAGAGCCCCAGCTATGAGATCCTCCCCCCAACGCTGAAGGGGCTCAGGGGCACTAGCAAATAGACACAGACCCCAGGATCCCCCATGTGCTCAACATCTTCTGCAGGGGGGATCAGATTCCCCTGAACTTCCCACATGCTCCATATTCCCCTGGGAATCGACGAGTACTTGTGTCTCTGTACTTTTGTTCCCTCCTGATACACGTCGGTCGGAAGAAGTAGGTAAAACACATGAAATAGGAAGGCGGATGCAGCAGATTGGACCCAGGCCCTCCCGGCGAATGACGAAACACAGCAAGAGAATATCAATCCTTGAAGTAGGAAGGCGCTTTTGAATGAAAAAATTGGATCCGAGAATCAACAACAAAAAACTACTTTCAACTCGGGAGCGGCCAAGAGGGGGGTGTCCAAGAGGGGATGGGTGCACATCATGGCCGGCGGCATGTGCGCGGCCCAAGGGGGGGCCAGGGACGTGTTGAAATAAGAAGCGGCGCCATGAGATCTGGGGAGATCTCATGGCCCCCGCCATGATATCCACCCCCCCCCTAGTCATCACCCCCCTCTTTGCCGCCCCCGATCCTCCTCCTCCTCCTCCTCCTCCTCCTCCTCCTCCTCCTCCTCCTCCCTCCCCTCCTCTCCTCCTCCTCCTCCTCCTCCTCCTCCTCCTCCTCTCTCCTCCTCCTCCTCCTCCCCTCCTCCTCCTCCTCCTCCTCTCCTC